TCACTTTTTCAATCCGTCGATCGGCCTGATCTTGTAACTCACAATCTTCCTTTTTAATCTCGTCAGGCTGACAGCTGGACGGATTATGAGTCGGATCAGTTCCATCATACCTTTCACCCCCTAATTCTGTTCGAGTCGTATTGCATCGGCATTGGTCGATCTCTAACCCGACTGACTTCTTTCCTGGCTCTGATCGCATCGATCACCATTGGGGATCTCATGGATCTTCTCTTTATCTGCTGGTGATTCGATCTCCACTACTCCGTCGCCCTCAACCAGTCCATCGGTCTGTTCTTTAAATTCACCTTCTTCAATTAAGATCGCCTCTGGCTATTGTATGAATCGTCTGTGCAACGGATCAGCTGCCTCGTGTCTGATCTCTTACGTCGCAAAATCACCCTCTCGTCATCAATCTCTTCTTTGTCTAATCACGTCCCTCTACAAGTGTCGACCGTCTCCTTGATTGTGTAGATCGCCGAAGATAGTTCTGTTGATCGTTGATCTATTTTCGTCGTGTGGCTTCCGTCCATTAGTTGGTCTCAAATCTCATTTCCGTTGGTCATTTCTTGGTCTGCTTGCGACAAAATCTTCCCAAATATCTCTATTGCTTGGCGGGGGTAAAATTCGAGTGAGAACTTCATACACAAAATGATCAATTAATGGCCCCGCATACTCTTCTACTGTCTTTCATCTCTTTCCGTATTCGCTTTTAACGTCAGCGTTTGCCATTCTGTCTACCGTCTTGATCCGATTGATACACACCCTGGTGATCTGTGTGCCAGGTCCGAAGTCATCCACAAGGCTAACGAAGCACTAAGACCCAAAATTATCTCACGATCGCTGAGGTTAGTGAGCGGCAGATACTTGATCCGGCCTGGCCCATTAGTGACCGTCGGCACCCATGTTAATCCCTGTAACGGGGTGAATTGTTACATAAAAATTTATAAGAATGGTTCTTAGAATATAACTATAAGAGTTAGATTCTCAGAATATTGTCATAAGGACAAATATTCTGTAGCACTTACGAGTAGTTCCTAATTGGTTGATATAGGCCATTATATCAACCAACGAAGACACGCCATGACAGACGCACGCAATGAGTGGTGAGCAGATAGTTGACATGCACATTTGTATTTAGACATAGTTAGATGAGGATAAATAGTGATTTATTAACAGACATTAACTACTATAAATACAGTTCTACTTTTTACTCAAACTAAGTACTCGCTTCTTCTTACCGTCTTCCTCTGCACGTACGAGTGTACGTGAAGTTTCGAGGCACCGCCTCATTCTGTCATCAGACTAAGTAGCTTGTACTGTCACCAGTACACGCTTCAGGGTGCCCCGCTACACCTGGTAGCACTTCGTAGTCCGTCCAAGGACCGCATTAACATCTAACATGAATATGTTGGATGATGAAGATGACCAAAGCTTTCACGCTACGCGTGACGGCTGCTCCTATTTGAGCAATGTCGAATGGGATGCGGTTGAACGGATGGGTTCAACCATGGACATCCATGCTATTAGCGTCATGCTAGATGCTTTCAGTAGAGATGCCCAACATGCTACTATCGCCAAGTTCATTCAAAATGAACTTGACGCAGAACGCGAGAAAGTAGCCTTGCTTTACCAACAAGGTTCTCAACAAGCAGAGTTGTTGAGACAGCAGCAGGCTGCTGCTGGTGGGTCGATGCATTCCGTCGACCCGAGACTTTGAAGATTGACATCTCCAAGTATAGAAGAGTCGAAGAGGACTCCCTCCTGGGATGGTTCGTCGAATTGGATGACGCCACAAGGGCGCGTCGCATCGACGACGGGGATATGCAAGTTGCATTCGTCCAGTTAAATCTGGCAGGACGTGCCAAGACTTGGGCACTGGGGCTCAAGCTGCACGACCCATATGCTATCTATACATCTTGCTACACACTTTCCTCGGCCACCATTCGACATCGCAGTGTGGTGTACTGGTTTACGGGGCGTGAGAAGGGTCCGACCCCGGGCGACTGCTTGACACTCTTCAGGTCTACGAATCTGCTTCACCATGGCTCACATAGCACCGGTTGTCCTCGGATTCGCATTCAGTCACCTAGTCTCCTAGCATTTAAAATAAGTTTGTTCCGTCCTTTCAGGATTGATTTACTTAAATATGCTTTCCACGTCATCTTTTCTTCACGTTTTGATTTTCCGGGTGTATCTTGACCACAAAACATTTTAGTCAACCTCAAGATAAAGTCTATTCATGAGGCATAGGATTCTACCAATGAGTCACCGTGGTATACCATGAGGGACCAGGTGTTCTCATGATGATACAGGGTCTACCTTTGGGACTTTCGAGACGCGACTCTAGTTCCTATGATTTTGCATTGCTTTGAATCGATTATAAATCTTTTGCTTACATTTAAATTCTCGCAGTAAGGATCTACATTTCAAATCAAGTTTACCTATCCATGATGGGGCCCACATAACCTTTCAAACGAGCGAGAAAATTTCGTTGCTAACGCCCATTACGCGTGTTCTTATTTTTCAGCACGGCTTTTCAAAATCTCTTCGACTTCGCATTCTCCTTTCAAAAAATTTGTACGCAACGTTTTTTCGGCAACAAGCATTCGTCAAGTAAAACCGATCTACCTGGCACACTATGACTCGTTGTTTGGTAGATTAGGGACTGTTGTAACCCGCTCAAGCTTGGACATGCGGATCATTAAAAAACTTCATATCGTACCGCAAATTTTAAAAATACTGCTTGGTCTCTCATCTGCTCCTAAAAGCAGAAAGGTCCATGCCACAGTGATTCAGTTTTCCTGTATATCCCTCTTATAATCGGTCATCATAGATCCATACTTGGTCCACCAGTCGAATCTTGTGGTCAACCACCCGTTCACTGTGTATTTGCTCTTGCTCCCGACTCTCTTCCCACAGTTTTTCATCAGCCTGTACTCTTGGTCGCTGTTACTATCTTTGAATACAGTACCTCTACTTTTTGGGCCCAACTATCGACGTCGGACATTTAATATCGGAATGTGGGTTTAAGGGTGGACCTGCCATTCCAATCATGGACCAGATATAAGGCATTTCTTTACGTATCCAGTCCTGTGAAAAACTGATCTCAAACTCTAACCGCTCCGCATACTAGTCCCAGGATCATTGCCATAAGTTAACAACATGCAACTTGATAGACCTGGTCGAATTCTAAATCATCCTTACCGCCGCGTCGTTGACCTGGTGTCAATAGGCCGTTTTCGCTTGTTGACGTTGGCCCACAATACGATTATATGCTTGGAAGAACCTCGAATTGAACCCCGGTCCCGATCATGACGGAAGACCTCTCTAGCCCTGAAACAGTAGAAACACACTATTCATATCCCTAATATACTATCTTAGCTGTGCACGAAGCGCTAGCCTTGGCCATAGAGTACTTGATAGATAATTCAGCCCAAATCATCAGTTATGTATTTCTTTATACTACTTAGGAATAGATAGACTTTAATGCGTCACTATAAATTGAAAGGAGGTAGGTTGCCTCGATAACACTGGGATCTTTCCTTCGATGTAGGTCCATCTCTTCGGTCTCACGATCCACGCAGGAATCCACGTATCGCTGCATACTTCGAAACCGACCGTTTTAGCAACAGTACCGTCGTATGCGTTGATCGTTGCGCCTTTCCTCTATGGCCTTCTTCTAAACTTGTGTGGCAGTGGTGGAGAAAGTCAATTTAGAGGTTTCAAGGTATCACTAGCCTGACTACCATGGCACAACCATATTTCTCGTCTCAGAAGTTGAAGCAGGAGAACGATCACATGCTGATGAGGCATGAGAAGTGCTCTCTTCGGCTGGACGCATGTATGGAACCGCATTCCTTGCCGCTTCGGCAGCGCACCGCGTGGACTTTATCACCATGCGAAATGAGTCGAATTTGACTAACAAGTGCTCATCTTTCCCAGAGTGAATTAACGGTGATCACCCTGTCCCCGATCAGTTTGATTCAATCACCGGGGTGATTGATGGTTATGGAGGGACGATGTAACGGGTTAGCCCACTACATGACATTGACACCAATCGGTGTCAATAGGAAGATTGTCTAGCGTGACAATCTCCTGCCAATATTATCCGAGATAGGCAATATTGATAGAAAGATTATTCCTTCAGATTAAATTCACGTGCTGCTCGAAGATTGATTGATAAAAGACAGATCAGCCAAGATTACCACCAATCGCTGCTAGACGCGCATAACGGGTGGTGAGCAGGTTGTCGTCATTCGATAATGTAGAATGATATAGTTAGATAAAGATTAAAATCTTATCGATAGCTTAACTTTGTTAAAAACGGGTCTCTTGTCACCTTTACACAGACTAGCAGTTTAAGTAAATTTATCATCCTCTGCACGTACGAGTGTACAGGAAGTTTTGTGGCACCCAAGCAAAAAGGGTGCCCTTTTACACTTGGTGACGCCCAATTGTAGGTCAACCTGCAAAAGGGCGTACTGATTTACCATGGCACTATCCCCGCCGTAAGGCATCTGAAAATTATATACAGACTTGACAGGGTTTAACGGCTGCAATCAAAGTTGTTGTAAACATCTGATCAGAACAGCAACTAGAGTAGACAAGTTGCAGGTGCGTCTACATGATAGTTCTCGGGCGTTTCTTGATGGCAAAGTGATATCATGGCCATATTCACTTAAGTGATGAGGAGGTTGTGAGGCATGGAATATAGGATTCTCATGCCCATTTGTGATCCACACTTTTTCGAAGCTGATGCTTCTGTTCAACATGGTATGCCGTGTTGTGTACGTATCGCACTAGCTCTATTTCCTCGCAGCGAAAATTCGATCAAGGTCATCCCCACTTTCGAGCGACACGCGATCCTCTGTGTATCCTTGCGACCAAAACAGACCTCGACTTGCGTTTACGCTGTACTGTTTCTGTGGGGCGTACCGAGTAGACAAAAAGCACTTTTTTCACTGAGCTCACGTCTGATTCATTCCAATTGAGACCAGCACATGCGCGCGGCACTAGAAGTCTGCGGCGAGTTCTTAAGCCGCATTGGCGCGCTCCAAGACGTCGGCGGTACGAACGCTGCACTCGTCTCTTCCGTGCGCGCCTAACCATGTAAATTTCACGTCTTGCAACCGTCTCTTTCTGTCTGTAGCCATCGCTGAGATGATGCACAAGTCGGGTATGGAGCTGGCCGAGACGAGTTCGTTCCGTTGGAGAGCGCTATTGGCTGCAATTCGACACGAACTGGATGCTGAACCCATGGACAGTGTCTTCCTCTTTGAGCGGCTGCTGCAGCTGGACGTTCTGATGCCCACGGACTCGAGCCTCGCACTGTTTCGATCACCACTGTTTCTACATGTGAGACGCTCTCATTGGGTTTGTCGATGAAAGTTAACGAGGCAGCTATTGATGCTGTGTTTCTATTTTGCTGGTTGCTTTGCTTCAGCTAGTGGTTGAGAGATTCGCCGTAGCTTTTGAAGGGCTAGATGCTGAGTTATTCAAGTTAGAGAGTGACGAGTTGTGTCATGTTGATGGCCTTTATGAGACGTGCTTGCTGGTCAGAGACAAGATACGAGCGTACGTGGGTGCATTTTTGGGGACCTAGATCGTGAACGAGGTGCTCTGACACTCTGTGGTGTAGCGGAGACTGTTGGAACGAGAAGCTCGGGACGTTTCTCGAGACGTTTAAGCAGATTTTCGAGCACAACGAGCCAAAAGTTCGTGAGTGTGTTGCTGGAATGGTGGTGCAGTGGCTGACTTTTGTGTTGATTTGCGTATGTAGGAGTGCTGGGATGTTTTTTATGAATCGTACCAACTGAAGAGCTCTGCTTTCCGACGTGACATGAAGCGTGCATTGTGTATGATCGAATCCGCGGCACTCGGTCCGACAAAACTCGAGCTCGCTTTCCCTACGGAGATCACTGGAGACACAACGTACAATTATATGCGATGGTTCGTATCGTGTGGAACGCGCTGTGCTAAGAAATACTCTGTCATTGCATGTGCACAGGAAAGCAATACCGCGAGCTATGCTGGAACGAAGATTTGTTGGCACTCGACGAGAATGGCGAGACATGTCTCATATTATCTCCATCTCAAATGACGAGCAAGAACAACAAGAGCAGCAGCAGCAGGACGAAGAACGAGAAGCACGAGTGTCCATCAGCACTGATAATGTTACTTTGCAAACATCTATCGAGTTCCCTGAAGTCCAGGACTGGGTCTGGCCGACGAATGCTCCATCTTCTTGTATGAAGATTATTGAGAACTACGTTGTATTCTCGTATCGAGTAATGCTAATGTATTGCTTGTTGTTTCTAGCAAATAACGTGAAAATGGAGGTAGTGCATTCCGACGTTTTGGACGAATCTCCGACACTCGAGCGGCCTGAATCATCAAGACCGCCACGTGCTGCAGAAGTAGCGAGGGTGACTCGCCGAGAAGGTCGTCGTGCTGTTGCTCGTACCAGGGTAAGAATGATGATGTAGTTTTGCTGCTGATGACCAGAGCGTACACTGACATCATGTCTCGTGTCCTCATGTAGGTTTCAAACGACGATGATGTTGCCATTACTTCGGAAGCTACTGACTGTTCTACTGGTCGACGCAAGCGAGTTCGCTGGTCTACAGAGGAAGAGGAAGCTCTCATTGAGGGCTACAGGCTTTACCACAAGTTTTCGAACGTATGGATGCTCATTAAAACGAAGTTTCCTGATGTGCTCCGAAATCGATCAAATGTCGATTTGAAGGATAAATTTCGTAACCTCAGGAGATACAACCGAATTCTACGAGCCACTGCCGATGGTCATGACAATGCCGGTGTAACCGACAATGATGCGACTGATGATAACACTGGCGCAGCTGACAAAAGTGATGCCACAGACACGTAGTGCAAGCCCAGCATCAGCTTCAGCGTATTGAATACGTTTCATCATTTCAAACTTGAGTTCATTTCGTATACAAACTACACACAACCAGACGCAAGACGACCCTTCTATCATCCCGCTGTAAACCTGCTCGTGACTTCGACCCGCTTCTCGCATGCTGGCCAATTTCGCATTGCCTACCCTTCCCGTATGTAAACTCCTCCTCCCCTACTCATCACACCGACATGCCGCCTGCTTTGCATCCAGTATTTCAGTCTCGTAACACGCACCGTCCAATCTTCCTTCCTTGTTCACTTCTAGGCGTTCAGTGACCACCTTTCAGTCGCTACGTTGGCAGCCGCTTGGAAATTTTGGTGAGTCCACATGCCAAATAATTAGGGGAAGTGATCCACGTCACACGGGTAGCCTACTTAACCCCGGCCAACAGAGCCACTCATCGACAGATCATTGGGCGTGTTGTACGTAAACCCCTGAAACGTCATGGACGGGCGCGAAGCATCGGACACGCGCAAACCGCCTAAGGCCGAGTTTTCCACGCTGTTGATCTGCATCTTGGTAAATTCTGCTTCAAAGTTCTTTGTCTCCTCGGCATTGCCGGCACTGGCGCACGGGTTAAACGGAGGCGGGATCTTGCGGTCGTACAGATCCTGCCAGTTCAGACCGGCAAAGTACGGGTGGGTCTTCACCTCGTCTGCATTCTTGCTACCTAGACGCTTGTTCGGGTCGCGTCGGAGGAGTCCGCTGATAAAGTCGCAAGCTACAGGATCAACTTCGTCAGGGAACGTTAGCGGAGCATTACGCACGCGATCAAACAGTTTCTGACGGTTGCGGGTGTACCAAGGAGGCAAACCCGTAAGCATCTCGTACAGCACCATGCCCATAGCCCACCAGTCCACAGCCGTGCCATGACCTACACGGTCCAAAATCTCGGGAGGCAAGTACTCGGGCGTACCACACATCGAGTTCGTGCCCTCAGCGCTATCCGTGATGCCCTCCTTAGCAAGTCCAAAGTCGGCTGCAAACAACACAAGCAACAAGTAAAAACCAAGTCAGCAGCAAACATGCATCCAAAACGAGCAGTAGATCTCATACCAAGCAAGACATGGCCAACGGGATCGAACAAGATGTTCTCTGGCTTAAGATCACTGCAGGAACCCAAGCAAAGCAGGAACAACATAAGTCAAGGTGACCATGATTGCAGCAAAACCCTATTCAAGCAGAGGTCAATGCGCACCGGTAGACCACCCCTAAATCGTGCAGGTGCTCAAGTGCCAGTGTGATTTCGGCACAATAGTATTGCGCCATGGCCGGCGTGAACTTTTCCATACGCGAAAGGTGGAAGAAAAGCTCACCACCTGGACAGTAGTCGAGCACAAAGTAAAGCTTCTGCGACGTCTGGAACGCGTAGTGCAGATGCACAATGAAGGGATGCTTGGCCCGACCCAAAACACGTCGCTCTGTGCGCGTGTGCTCCACCTGATTGCGACGCTTTACGTTCGACTTGTTGAGCGACTTCATGGCAAATAACCGGTTGCCTTCTTTCTTGCGCACGAGCGTCACTTTGCCGTACGAGCCTTTGCCAATGACCTTGAGCAGCTCAAAGTCGTCCAGCGTCGTCTTGGGCGTGTTGTACAGACCCGTTTCGCTATCGGCATCTGACGACTGCGACGTCGGAGGAGTCCCATCGCAAGACACGGCCGTAATTCCCTGATACTTTTCCAAAGGCTCCTTCTGCTCGAGCACCAGCAACAAATATTGAAATACACACATTTAGCCATCCATAATCTCTGTCAAGGTCTTTTATCCCAGAGACTTGTCCAATAAACACCAAATAATAATCGAATAACTGGACGACGTTCGTACGTTTGTCAGCATAAAGTCCTTGAAAAGCTCGGAAGTTCGAGGATCCGAGTTCCCTGACGCGGGATCAAATTGACATAGCAAATGGAGCCAATTCGCCAGCTCCTGCTGTCGCTTTTCAATAAACTCCTTATTGTTATTGCCCAAGAACTTTTTCGGTGGCAGCGCAGGACAGCGAAACCCTTCACTTGACATCTACCATATAAGAACAGGATACAAAAGAACATGATATAAAAAGAACATGATATAAAAAGAGCAAGATATAAAAACAAGATATAAAAAGAATAATAAAGAGCAATAAAATAAGAATACCCATCGAAAAAAAAGAAGAAGAAGAAATCAGTACTGAGATAACAACAACCACCACACGACGGTAAACCTAACAGAACTATTCTCGACATAACGTGCCAGCATTACCCTCACCTTGTCGTAAAAGTCCTTGAACTCGTGGTAGCGGTGCCGCACAATGAACATGCCGCCCTCAGGCACTTGCACCTGTACAAAGTAGACCGTCGTCTTGCTCCCGTTGTGGCTCACATTGTCGTGGCCCATGATGCCCACGAACTTTGGGCCTCGATACTCCTCAGGAGCGCTCATGATGGACCGAAACGACTTGACCAAAGAGCGCACTGCAAAGAGCCAAGTCTTTTTCTAATTGCAATCAACGAGTAGCAGTACCGACGTGTGACTGTCGTTCGTTGCCCGATTCAGTCAGTCCTGGCGTCTAGAATCTTGTGGCGTTTGGCGTCGAGTCGGGAGAAGGCGACGGAGACTTGGTCGAGGCCTTAATGCTCCAATGGCTCCAGTGTGGGGTACGTGTCGGTTCGTTTGTTTGTCTGTTTGATTGTTTGTTTGTATGTGGTTCGATTGCGTACGTCGTCGGGGTTGCAGAATGAGGGGATTAACCGCACGTGTCAGTTGAAATGAAGGAACGCGCTGTGCTGTCGCGTCGAGCATTGGGCAACTCCAGTGCCAGCTGAGAGGTGAAGGAGGGTAGGGGAGGACAGAAAACGGGTGGATAATCGATCGTGCGTGGACAGCAGGAAAGAGGTATGCTGAATGAGAGGATACCGTGAGTAACTGGTCAAGAAGCGGTTGGAATGACGGGAGAGAGGTTAATGGCAAGAGATAGGATCACAGCGCATTGACCTGTACTGGTCAGTGAGCAGCAGCCGATCCGGATCCAGTGCCGCATCCGCGCGGGATAAGAAAAGGACGAGGCAGTTGCCACTGCGCAACGACGACAAGGCGACGCTCGTCGACGACAGTAGGGTTGGGGCAAAGGGTCTTAGACACCAGCCCCGTCGCTCTTTCTATATTCTGCTACTTTGTGTGTCTATTGTTACATTAGGACGTGCGTGTAGCATGGTACAAAGGAAGAGTTCACAGTAAAGTGCTTGCTTCTCACAAGGCTTCCTTTGTGCGAGGTCGAGCTACAGCCGGTCAATAGACTTTCCAGGACACGAAGTCGCACTTTGTGCTATTGCAACTGAGAGAGATGGTCCTACCTCGGCCAGCAGCGCCCCGATCTTTTTTGAAATGATAAGAGATCACGAGCTCTTTCCACTGTACGTTTCTCGATACAACTGGCCGTACAGAGAGCACGAGCCATTGATCTTGTGTTGAATCTTGTCCATCTTTTCATGATTTCTCGATGCACGTATCGCTTCCATTCCACACTTTGTAAACAGTTGAGGCCAGGAATAAAGAAGTCGCAGCTGAGCTTCTCGTCTCGCCCTTCACTCAGAATGTATCCAAAAGAGGATTATGAAACGTATTTTACAAAGAATGCATGCACGCTCAACGATCCCTCTGACTTGTCATGTGCGAGCACCTTTTGGTATTCTTGAAGTATCGCCAACTACTCGTTCGTGATTCGCTGAAACTCCTCATCGTCTCCATTAGCCGTCAAAAGCGTTCGTACCACGTCACAGATCGCCGTCCCGTCCTGTAGATCGGCTGCTGCTCAAGTCTCTGTCGTCGCTTGAGCCGTACGAGTCGCTCAGCATGAACGGAACGGCCGTGGGTATCTGCAATGGACACTTTGTTGATGCCCGAGGCCGCGTTCGGCTTCTCCGTGGGGTCAACCTGGGCGGCTCGTCGAAGCTCCCTTTTGACTACCGTCATACGAATCGTCACTGCAGTAGCAGCGATAGTTTCTTCGATACCGCGCGCAGCGTTTCATTTGTCAATCGTCCGTTCCCGCTGAGTGAAGCGCCTTTGCACTTTGCAAGGCTCCAGCGCTGGGGCTTGACGCTCCTTCGCTTTGTCGTTACGTGGGAGGCGATCGAGCACGGCGGACCAGGAGTGTACGATCACGAGTTTCTAGGCTACGTACGGGCTATCATTAGTCTTGCAGCAGACTACGACCTTAGCGTGTACGTTGATCCGCACCAAGATGTATGGTCGAGATGGACGGGAGGAGATGGAGCGCCAATGTGGACGCTGGAAAGCGTGGGCCTTGAGCCGCGCAACTTTGAAGCAACAAAGGCAGCGCTGTGTATTGAAACGTGTGGAGTAGAGGTGAAAAAGTTCCCGAAAATGATTTGGCCGACGAATTACTTCAAAATGGCGTGTGCTACGATGTTTTCACTCTTTTGGGGAGGTGCTAAATGTGCGCCGTCGTGCACAGTCGATGGCGTTCAAGTACAAGAGTATTTGCAGTCGCACTATTTGAATGCAATGGCACGGTTAGCCGAAGTGTTGGAGGGATTGACAAATGTTATTGGCTTCGGGACGATGAATGAGCCGTCCAGTGGATATTTGGGACTCAAGGACTTGAGCAAGCACTTCCATCCAGGAGAGCTGAAGTATGAATTGGCACCCACACCATTCCAAGGCATGGCTTTGGCTGACGGCTGTCGGCAAGTTATCCAGCGCTGGTCAAATGGTGCAAACCAACACGTGTTTGGACGACCCGATGCGCTTGTGACGGTGGATCCCAAGGGAGTACGCGCTTGGCAGAAAGGCCGACGCTGCATATGGAAGGAGGAAGGTGTTTGGGACGTGGACGAACGAATCGGGACACCAGTCTTGCTGCGTCCAGATCACTTTGCAGGCATCATGTTTGGTCGGGATTGCTATGTGCCTTTTGCAGCGGTACGTTATATAGATACTGTTGTGGTTGTCAGAGCACTAACCGGTTTGTTGTTAGTGGTTGTCAGAGCACTAACCGGTTGATGTGTCGTATGCTCTGATGACTACAGCGCTTCAGCGATCGCATTCGAAGCATCTTGCCCCATGTTTTGCTTTTTGTCGAGCTTCCGCCACTAGAGTTCAGTATAGATGAGTTCCCTGACATCGATGATACACTCATTCCACGTGCAGTCAATGCTACGCATTGGTACGATGGGGTCACGTTATTCTTGCGTGCGTGGCGCCCGTATTTCACAGTGGATCCGAGAACAAAGCGTCCTGCTTTCGGCTCTACTGCTGTGCGGAAAATGCATATGAAGCAACTGGAGGGTATCAAGGTCTATGGCAAAGAACAGATGAAAAATGCTCCGACACTCATCGGTGAAACCGGCATCCCTTTTGATATGCACGGTGGCTCAGCATTCCGGAGCGGTGACTTTCGTGCGCAAATCGGAGCCCTGGACAATACTATCTCTTGTCTAGAGGCCTCGTTGGTTTCATTTACGCTTTGGTGTTACACGTCGGACAATTGCAATGACTACGGCGATCAATGGAATATGGAGGACTTGAGTTTAGTCAGCAATGTCGAGTCCGTGGGGTCGGAGAGACTACCGTCGGCCTCAAATCCAGACGCCTGTGCGCGAGCGATTTGGGCATTTGCTCGTCCCTATGCTACACATATTACAGGCACTCCTGCTAAGTCAGAGTTCAAGCTTTCGCACGTGCGCTACGAGCTGAAGTACTTTTCGACGCCAAGCAAGTCCTGTGGGACTTCCGTGCAGCACCCAACGGAAGTCTTCGTGCCGCATTTGCAGTACCCCAAGGGTTACGCAGTGGAAGTGTCCGATGGCCACTTTTGCTGTCAATCGTACAACGGGTGGGACATCGTGTCGTTCTTGCATGATCCATCCAAGGCTGATCATTGGCTCGTGATTACATCAAAGGACACAAGAATCGGAAAGCGTCGTCGGGCACGCGTTTGTAAGAGGCAGATGATGATGCCTTTACTCTTGGCAATCGCTGGCCTCTTATTGTACTTGATTCTTGGATAATCTGCGATCGACTTTCGGCTATAGGATGCAGGCAAGGGCACGGGAATAAAAATGACAAAGCCTCTTGTGCCTAGACAAATGTCCAGTTGGTCACACTGGTTGTCACCAATGACAGCTTCAGACTGAGATTTTATATCATGACTCATAATAACGCCTCACATATTTTCAGTGAGACTGAGGTACCGTCTGCTATTGTTTATCCGTACCAGGGCGACAAAATCGTCATCATGTCCACACTCGACTTCAGCAAAAATCTGAGGTATGTGGCACTATCCACAAATAGTCAGCTTGCAATTAGCGCGCGTTTAGCCAATCAGCATCACATCCAGATGCCCGACTGTGTAAGCACTGTACCAAACGAACAACTCGTGCCAGATCGCGGGTCGGAATGCTGACGCCCGTGGTTTCTAAATCGTCTTTCTAAATCATGATGATGCCCATCTGTAGACGACTCCGACACTTGACAATTGGAGCAGAGGCAGGCCAATACAATAACCACGGCACTTTATAGTAGAAGTAGAAGCAGTCAAGCAGCTGACGCCCGATGGTACTTGAGGTTACTTGCTCCACATCCGCAATTCTCTTCTTACCGTCAGTATTTAACCCGTAGGCTAACTACAATGGAGAGAGTAGCATCAACTGAGTGGCTGGAACCGCATTCGTCACCAGACGCAACCTCTGTGCCAAGTCGAGCAGCTACAGTTCGCTTAAGGTTGACAAAAGCGCTCTCCTTTGGCTCGATGACGTCATCTGCTGCCACTGAGCAGCGATGTACCGACTTGAACGAGCTCGACATGGATGTTGCAGCTGCTGACGGTGTCTTGGCACTCGATAGCACGTCTGGCGAGTATTCGGGATGGGTTCACGTTGCAACGTCTCGACCTGGTCGCATGACGTTTGTGAAACGCTATTGTCGACTGGTGGAACTCGTGTGCAGGTTTTACGCCTCAGTCGAAGACGCAGAGCAAGGCTTGGTGCCTGTTGGTCGCCATGTCGTTATTTCCGTGCATCGAGTGCAGTCACGGAATAAAACATTTGCATTCATGGACTATGAAGACCGCACGGTGCTGCTCCATACGTGCATGGGGGCAGACTTTGAGCATTGGTACGGCACTTTTGCTGCAATGGTCAAGGTGACTCAGGTGGCGAAAGCTCGACAGGAGAAGGGAAGCGCTCGTCGAGCAACGACCGAGCTATCAAAAGAAGCCACGAGACTTCAAGTGGTGCTGCAAAGAGCTTACCGGTTACGGGCCTTGACGGCACCGATGCTGTCAAGTAGAGTGGGATGGAACCTTCACGAGCCGGACGAGTTACCGTCGGTTTTAATGGATGAAGAAGACTTGGAACGCACTCATACTGTGTGGCTGTATGTCCACGTTCCATGGTGGCAGCACTTGCTCCAGCGACGCCAGCGAGTGCGACGGTATTTCGTGTTTTCAGGTACCAACGTGAGCTGCTTTAGTGTGAACAAGGAAGGCAAACGCGCCATGTTTACGCACATCATCACCGCGTGCACTTATGACAGTGAGCAGGACCCGACTGTCATCGAGGTCGAATGTGGTTATCCAAACAGGAAGCTGCGACTTAGCAGCAGCACGAACGACGCGGAAAGTGCAGTAGCTGCAACGGCAAAGTACATTCAAGGAGTTCTTGCTAGTCAAACGGGATAAGCTTCATCGCTATTTATCGTATTTGCAGTCAATCATAGACTTGGCAGCAGGCATGGACGTCTAGCCCTCCATAGTCGATTCTCCTAAAGACTTTATCGATGACGACTTGTCCTCATCAATGCGGACGTCCACCACACGAAAGCTGTCAAAGAACTCCTTGTAGCTGATCACGCCATCGTTGTTGCTATCGAGATATGTCAGCAGCTCTTCAATTTGGTCATCCGAGATCGGAGAATTGAGCACGACGTTGAAGGTCCGGATACCTGTGCGGAAATTGTCGCGACTGATGACCCCGCTATTTGTCGCGTCAAACATGCGGAAGGCATTGCGAATGTGAATGCGGTGCTGGTAAAAGACATTCGAGACCTGCTGCAACACGGAGTTCTGCCACGTGAGGTCGCCGGACACTAGTGCTGCTTCTTCCTTGATATCTTGCACGCTAAATGCTGCTACGAACTCCTTGTAGTCGATGGACAGACCCCCGTCACTATCCACAGCAGCCATTACCCGATCTATCAGACTTTGCTCAAAGTGAAAGCCTAGCTGCTCCAGCGCTTGCTCGAACTCGTTACGAGAGAGAACACCGTCTTCGTTCTTGTCGAAGTGGAAGAAGTGATACTGCAAGGACCCGCGGAGCGCAAACAAGGTTTTGCCAATTTGCAAGAGCGCCTGCATTGTCTCCACGTCGAGGTTGCTTGCAGGTCGCGGTGTGAACTTCGACTGTTCCTCTCCTGAGGATACCCGACGCATAAAGATAGGCTCTGTCCCTGTAGTCTTCTCTTGTGCAGTAGGCGGTATCATCTCCGTTCCTGAAGCCGTCGGAGTCGGAGATGGCTCCACCGCTTCGATCTCGCAGTTCCTACCTTGGTCCGTGAAGATGACCTCGAATCGTTGTGCAAACTCATTGAAATCAATTCGTCCATCGTCGTTCGTGTCGGCGGTGCGCATAAGTTCGAATATCTGCTGATCTGCCAGCCCCGTATCCATCTGCTTGAGCGTGCTGACAAACTCCTCGTACTCGATAAAACCGTTTGAGTCGGCATCGAACACCTTGAAAGCTTGCTGCACATCACCAGCGCTCATTGCCCGGTACAGCTTTTTGCAAATGAGTGCAATGATACTTTCTTGCCAGCCGCTGTTGTCCATGGCATCGTTTTCAATGCGATAACGAGCCAAGAAATGCGAGTAATTGATCCGTCCCGAGTCGTCACTTACTACTTCTGCGAGCTTCGGCTGGTACGTCAAGAAAGGTAAGTCGATTTGCAACACGGACCGTAGAGCTTCAGCCCAGATCAACCGAGGTACCGTGCCATCGTGCTCTTCATCGTGCTGCGTAAAGTACCAGTACAATGACGCCCTGTGGTCGCAAATACGCTCCGCGATCATTCGAAGCGTATCTTCTTCCAACACACCTTGCATCTGCGCCTTTTCCGGTGCCTTGAACGTGCTCTCGTTCAAGGATGTGGCGTAAAACTGCTGGATTTCCGGATGCAAGTCTGGTCCTAATGTCAGGAAGGCTCCCTTGTTCATCTGGGTTCCGCAGTACCTTGATGCTGAAAACAACGTGATCAGTCGACCTCCATGAAGAATCTCGTATCCATCGAGTACACACTCGTGCGAGCGAATAATTAGCGCGATCTTGTTTACCAAACAGAAGTTGTTGGTGACATGAACGCCAAACTCCACGCCAGCTCCGCGTTCCGAAGGTTGACGCGATTGAATGGGACGTGGATCGCTCCACAACATGTCTTCAAAGATCTTGTCCTCAAAATTTGTTTCGTGAAGCGGGGGCTCACGCTTGCGCGAAATACCGCGCAAATGGGCCAGCGTGACATTATCACGCGAAAACAGTCCTCCATGTACGACAAAGATCTTCTGCTGGAGAACAGCGCAGAGCGGAATGGACTCGAACAGCGTCTGGAAAGACTCAAAAATGAGAGCAGGGCGTTCGAAATCGTCTTCATCAGCCCCGGAATATTTCGCCCACACTTCATCTTCGAACCCCATCCACGAGTTTTGATTCCGGGACTCGTGGTTGCCTCGATTGAGAAACACACTTGTCGGGTACAGCAAACGAAAGAGCAAGAGAGTCATAACTACTTCCGTGCCGTACATTCCACGGTCCACAAAGTCCCCATTGAAAAGATACTTGTTGGTCAGAGTGGGAAGGCCGTTGACAGAAAAGATGGAGAAAAGATCCTGCAACTGGCCATGGAGATCGCCTACCACCGTGAGTTTTTCTCCTTCTACGAGCGAAATTTCTTGCAGCGTTGGCAAAGGACCGAGCGATCGCACGCCTTCTTTGAGGATTTCCAGCACGTATTTGTAGTGCAAAAGTTGCGTCGTTTTGAATGAATCCAACACCTCCAAGACATTCGACAGTTGCAGTGGCCAGGTTACATGAGGTCCTGCGTACGAAGGGTCGATCGTTATCCCTGCCACGAAAACATCTGATACGGTGCGAGAAACCGACTGCAAGAACAAGCACAATAGGAACAAGAAGACAGCTGTTAGAAAAGAGACACAGAGGCAGTGATCGAAATAAACAATATTAATATAACATGGTGGATAGAAGTAGCCGTCCCGTCTGACCTGCTGTGTGTTCGTCAGCTGGGCAAGCGTATGTTCTGCCGACTTAAACAGCTCGGAGCGTTTCAGATTAAGATGTTCTTGTGTACTGTCCAATAGATTCCACGCATGGGAATACACGAGATGACGAAACTTCTGCGATGCCCTCGAACGTCGCCAGACACTTTGTACTACACACGCTGCCCCGTCTTTTTCTGAAAAAACCTATAAAAAGAAACACAGGTAAGGCATGCGTTAACAGAAAAGGAAAAGAAGCAACTTGAAAAAAGCAAAGATTCGAAAAAGCACAACAGTAATGTAGTAACCGCAACGTACGCCGAGCTGCTCTTCGCGAGCAAAGATGCCGTGCAGAGGCTTGCATGCAAAATGGCGTTGACCGTCCTCAGCAACTCCGTCATTGTCTCCTCGCGCTCGAAGGAGCTCTACGCCAACTAGAGCCGATCGACGCTCGGGTACGTAACGGATTACCTAGTCAGCAGTCGAGGGTAGGGTAAGAACACGTGGATGTCAACGCGACAAGCTGACTCCCTCCCCCTCGCTTTCCCGCCCTGTCGCGTTAAGTGAAAACACGGAACCAACTCACCCCTGCATACTTGCCACGCACTAACACGCGGGCGCCCACTTCTATTTTGAACGCTGCCTCGTCTCTTGCCATTACAACCTCTTGACTATAGAAATAGAAGTGTAGCCACTCAGCCTCGAGCGTTTTTTGCGAGCCACGCGCTTTGTAGCCGGTTCTGACGCGAGAGAGCTTCGATCGATCATTTCGACCAATCAGAAGCGCATCTATCCATGACTTATACCTCCTCCGAGTCTCGGGTCATTATGGATACTCCACTGCGCGAACAATATGATGCGCTCTTAGCCGATGACGCAATCACGTCCGACTATTCTCGTTGGCGAGAGCTCAAGCGCCTCGTGATTGTGCACGGTCTGCCCCGAGACGAGGCATCGACTCTTGATGCGAATTCCAGTCTCTGCTCGTTGCGAGGGCGTGTGTGGAAGACCTTTTTAGGCGTGGAAAACGACGTCGATATGACGAAATACGCAGCACTTGTCGGCCGCGGCGCCTCGCATTATGACGGCGATATTCGGAATGATACGTTCCGGACGTTTCGAGGCGACCCAGAGTTTGCTCAACGGGTGCCCGAGGAGAAACTAGTGCGACTGTTGAATGTCTTTATCAACGAATTGGGGGCGAACCCGGGCAAGGAGAAAACACCGGAAGAAGGCGAACAGGTGCGCGATGGCAATTTGCCATCGATCAGGTACAGGCCAAAGCTGATGTTTCAGATTCGTTTTTCTTTTTTCTTCTTCTTTTTATTATGGACAAGAAAACGATATAGCATGAGGTTCTTTTTTTTTCACATGTCTCTGCTGTCTCTGACGACGAGACGACAATGCCGACATAGATACGTTCAAGGAATGAATGTGCTATGTGCACCATTGCTGTACGTCTTGCCCGAGGCAGATGCGTACCACACTTTTTGCCAGCTTATTGTCCGCCATTGTCCACATTATATGGCGGCTCGGCTACAAGGTGTGGAAAAGGGCTGCGCTCTTGTGGACAAATGCCTCGAAACGGTAGTTGCTACTCGAGTGTATCACCTATCGTATGTCATGACGGATAACCCATGAACACTGAGAGTTGTTGCCACTTTTGTTGTTGTATCGATTAAGTTGGACCCGGATCTGTACCAGCACTTGTTTCGACGAGGCATTACAGCGCGGATATATGCTCTTCCACTGATCTTGAGCCTATTTGCTTGTGTACCGCCACTCCACGAGCTTCTTCGTGTCTGGGATGTGGTACGCTTTGTATTTGTTGTTGTCTGCCGTACAGTACCTCTGAAGAGCAAAACTTGCTCACTCTTGTTTCCTGCACTGGTTTGTTGTGACAATAGCTTTTTGCAGTAGGCGTGCACTTTGTAGTCGTTTTAGCTGTCGCGCATACGGTACTTCTCCGAGAACAACTGCTGCGATTGTAAGGAGTTCGGATGTCACGCATGTTGTCATTGTTTGTTTCAAATGGCCTAACAAAATGCGTTTGCTGTGTTTGCTGCAACGAAAAGGGACATGGACTTGATGAAGGTGCTCAGCCTCCGATGTGTGCCCCCTCTCCAGTCAGACTTGCTTATTTCGATCGCTTTGCAATTGTTCCACCGTCTACCTGATGACCTCTTGTACGAGATTGCTCGGCACCCATTTGCAAACCCAGACGCTCCAACCAGTTTGCCTTTCCATCCGAAGACCGTAACCGCCATCGCGACACAGATTGAAAAAGAGCGGAAGGACCTGGCTAGGGGATCGAGTCGGACAGACTCTACGGTCCTCGACTAATTCGAGAAATGAGGAATCTGCAAATTTAGTAGGGAGCCAAACACCACACCACTGGGACGTTTCAACAACGGACTTTCTGCCCATCAAGCCCGGAAGGCGATACCGAAAACAATCATTGCGCCCGAACACCGTGGGGGACTTCAAGTTATGACGAAGTCTGCTTTCCTTTGCTAAATGCAACGTCCAAGCCTTGCGGGGGATGAACATTACACTGAGATGCCTCCTGGGCTGTAAATGCACTTTGCCTGGCCGCGATCAAAGCGAACAATTGATGAAAGCTGGATGATCAGTGTACGCTCTGCTTCTGTGACCAAAAAAACCGCGATGGATCTGAATCAAAGCCTATGTCACCCGGCCAAACGTGATTCGCCACGGCAACGCTATCGGTGCTGAAACGGACAACAACCACGATGGGCACTGAGCGAACAAAGAAAGAGAATATTGAGCACCACGAAACCAATATCATGGGTGGAATTGCATAAATTTGGTAGCACCAACACAATCCAATCATCGTATTCTCAGCTGGAAAGCGTCCATTTATCGACGGCTGTTCTTGTATTTCGGCTGCGCAGCTTTGCGCTTTGCCTTTTCCTTCTTCTTCAGAGCGGCCGGGTCGTTTTCATCCTCATCTGTGGATGGACTTGACGTGAAGACGTAGATAAGTAACATGCGGCCTCCATGGTAAAGCAAGTAGCCCGGAAGAACAAGATACACGAGCCAAAAGTAGGTTGAGAACATGACTCCAGTCTGCACGAACAGCGTGACAATTAAAATGTCCATCGCATACCTGTTTAAAAGTCATGCAAAGCAAATTATACGTGAGTTTCTCGAATTCGATAAATTGTATCCAGTATCAGAGAGCTGGATCTCCAGTTTCACGTACTCGGTACTGCCCCCTTCTTCAGCTGCCCTAACCGCCCACGCGTAACTGAGATAGGTGGATAATGTCAGAAAAACGTAACCCGCCAATGTCCACGTAGTCACGGATTGGTGGTGCCACAGGATCCGAAAGAGCAGGTACACCACGTTCAGAGGCACGATCCACTGCTGAAGACGCGTAGCGAGTGAGGAGCTGGCACGCTGAGCCTTTTTGGCTGCTTGATTGGCCTACGTAAATATAACATGTGCACGGGAAGACAGTCATTGGTGTCGGGAGTTTGTTAATCTTACGGGTCATACAAAGTGGGAGGAACGTAATGCATGGCCGATCATGAAGATCCCACCATCTCTGCTTGTAGTTTCGGTTACGAGATTTAGGACCTTAGTGTCAGGTTGCAAGGGAAGATTAAATAAAAGCCAAGATTTTCCAAGCCATTCGTTTCGCTAATATTGGTTGCAAGGGAAGATTTAATAAAAGCCAAGATTTTCCAAGCCATTCGTTTCGCTAATATTTTGTGTGTAGATCTTTTTCACATCGAATTATTTTTGTCAGGGGTGTGTTCTACCGTGCGGCATTCGTCGATATAAATAGGAGCATAAACAGTGTTGGGCCACCTGCGTCTGCCATCTGCGTGCGATCGCAAAGCGAAGGCATAAAAGTAGCGACCGCAACTTCGGGTGCCATGCTCTACGCATGCATGGAGTTGCTGGAGCGCGAACCTACAGGGGTGCCTAAATTTACTGGCCCCAGTCATGGTCAGCCCCTGGATCATTCTCCAGCAATCATGGCATGGCTTAAGATATACCAGAGATTTTGCACATAGGTATCACAACCAGGTGATAGACAATCCGAACCACGACCATCTAGTAAGGGGTGCGTGTGCTCGGCTAAGTATGCCCGAGTCCCTTTTCGACGCAGTGGTATCTTCTCCAGAAACAGCAACGACCTAACCGTTCCGACACATTTTTTATTGAAATGTCGTGCGATGTGTGTGAGAGTGTTTGTGATAAATTTTAGTAGCTTCTGTGTATCGGGGTAGCCCGTTACATGACATCGACACCGAACGGTGTCAATAGGGAGATTGTCTAGCATGACAATATCCCACCAATATTATCTAAGATGGATAATGTGGAAGGAATATTATCCCCTAGAATAACATTCACATGCTGCACAAAGATTGGTTGATAAAAGACATATCAACCGAAGACTACCACCAAATGCTGCTAGACGCGCGCAATGTCTGGTGAGCAGATTATCGTCATACAACAATTTAGATTAAAATAGACAGATAAAGACTGAAGTTAAATTGATAGCTCAAAAACTATAGTACATAAAGTTCTCGTTTTATCCTTTACTCAAACTAGCGATTTATAGGGTTAGCTTCCTCTACACGTACTAGTGTACGTGAAGTTTCGTGGCACCCGAGCTAAGGGTGACCCGTTGCACCTGGTAGCACATTTTAGTCCGTCCAACGACTACTTAGTGTCCGTCCAACGACTACTTAGTGTCCGTCAACCTGAACATGTTGGACGTTGAAAACGACAGCCTTCGCTTCACACGTGGAAACACTCCCATCTGAGTGACTCTGTACTGGAGATAGTCGGCAGCATGAGTGTGCTTATGGGCGAAACCGCCATCAGTGGCATGTTGGAGCCTCTAAACAGAGACCAACAACATGCCGCTATCGACAAGTTCCTACAAGGGGAACTTGCTGTCAAAAGACAGAAGGTAGCCTTGCTTTACCAGCAAGGCTATCATCAGTCGATTAGCGGGCCGACGAACATGCGTCGACCCGAAACCTTGAAGATAGCTATCTTAAGGTACAAGGGAACCGATGAAGATTACCTTTTGAGATGGTTTGTTGAGTTAGACGACGCCATAAGGGCCCGTCACATCGAGGGTGACGAGATGCAAGTCACTTTTGCCCTGCCAAATTTGACAAGACGAGAAAATACTTGGGCCTTGAGGATCAAGCTTCACGACCCAAACGTGTTTGAGGCGTTAGAGACCTTGATTTTTAGGCTCAAAGAAACGTTTGAGCCGCCAAGAGCCGGGTACAGAGCACTTTCTGCACTCCTGAGGGCCAAGCAAGGCAAGCGTGATGTGCACGCTTACGCACAGCACCTGCGCTACCTTTCAAGTAGCGTTACGGAAAATCCTGTTGATGAGCACACGCTCATTAACGTGTTCATCTACGGCCTTGTAGATGGGCCGGTGAAGACCTACATGTTCCGAGAGGACTTCCATACGCTGGAAAAGGCCACAGCGTATGCGGAACAAAAAGGCTTCAGCTTGGGACAGTCTCAAGCTAACTTGTCAAACTATCGTCCAACTAGACGACAGGAAACCGGAGGTCCCGAACGAATGGACCTCTATTACATCGAGAGCAAGAACTCTTGCTCTCTGAGTCACAAGCGAACGGCAAGATGCCATTGCTGTAAAAAGATTGGGCACTACGCTCGTGAGCGTAGTGTCCCAAGCACCACATCACGTCCAAGACAGGACTTGATGACCGCCGTTGGCCAAAGAAAGGTCCAAGGCGCGGGTCCGACCATGTCGCTAAACCTCGACAGCAAGTCGGACAGCCAAAAAAGATTAGGGTCAGTAGGGGCGGAGCACCCTGCTGATCCAGGAACGTCAAGCTAATTTGCAGGACTCTTGACGAAGATTGCGCCCAACATGCAGAGTTACTGTGCTGCTGCCCCTAGTGATGAGGTGTCCCTCACCACTTTGAAGATCGATGTGACAAGTGGAATGTTACGTCGCTCTTTATTTTAATATGGGGCGTCAAAACGTTTTATTCGACGCCAGTCACTACAAGATAGTAGCATCAACTATGTTGAGCGAGATCTTCCTTAACGAAAGTGACGGTGTGCCTTGCAACAGGCGCATCTGTAACACTGAGGAAGCGTGGGTGGGAACTTACTACACACTAAATGTGTAAGCGGTACGATGATGACTTCATCGTACCGGATTTGGATGACAAATTTGATGTCATCCTCGGTCTACCATGGTTCAGAAGATACGAGCCATGGACAGCTGGCAGCATCGATCCGCGTAGATAACTGCCGTTTGTTCATCAGATGGTTATCTGATGAACGTCTTGGAGCGTCCACAAGCTTGTGGATGTACTACGAGTGAGTGCGATGGTCTCACTTGTGGTACGGACGTTAGTAAGAATGCACAAGACACAGTGTAGAAGGCCACAATACTGTGGAACCATCTTCTGGCACCTGTGTAGAGACACAGGCTGCGCCAAAGGTTCACCACTCGAAAAGATCGAGTGGATTGGGACATGGATGCACACCAAGCAGGGTGCACTCAAGAAGGGAGGTGAGTGTTGTTCAGAATAAACAACACGTTAAATAGATATCTACTAACAGAGAGTCGATCGAAGAGGACATGACTGTGGTAGTGCACTCACAGTCAGAACACGTTTTGGAAGAAAGTTCCAGCGTTCCTCAGAGTGATAAATCTTGAGAGAGTTATGTTGAGGGTGAGTTTCCTCAACCACATGCGGATGTTTTTTCCCAGAAAATCACCGAGACATTGAATGTCTTGGTGAATGATGGATCAAGTGTAGGCGCTTATACACTTGATATGGTTACGCCTCCGAAGTTAGCTTCGGAGGTAATCAAGTTGACAGCGCTGAAATATAAAAGATCCTTGAGAGAACTGCGTAGTGACAAGATCAAGCAGATCTACGTACTCTTCACAGACGACGAGTATATCGCTGATAAGGATTTGGTTGAATTCAGGATGTTTCCCTGAATCCGTGCCATGCGAGTTGTCTAAAGACAAAGGCACTCGACATGAAATTGTACTAAATCCCGGTCCGAAGTACTGTGTCATGAAGCAGTGGCCCCTTCCTCGTGAACAGGTCACAGTGTTCGACAAATTCTTTGCAGATAGCTTAGCGTCTGGTCATGTGAGTGAATCAACATCCCCTCGCAGCTCTCCGATCTTTTGTGTGCGAAAAGCCACAGGAGGGTGGAAGATAGTACACGCGTTTAGAAAATTGAACGCTGCAACGGTAACGGGTCAGACGCCGATACCGAGGAAGAACACAATCATAGGCGTTGTGGCAAAAGTTCCATCTTTTCGTCCATGGATTTGATGGATGGATTCTATCAGATCCTCACGCGTGAACGGACCATTCCGGTTGCAGCAGTGAGCACCCCCTGTGGCATGCTCTGGAAGTGGCTTGTGATGCCACAGGGTATAAGTAACGCCCCTGCAACGTTCAACCGATGTTTTACAGATCTGTTGCGATCGGTAGGAGACTTTGCACCGAGCTACTTTGACGATATCTTCGTCCATATTGGGCTATGGATGGAAAGACGGACATGGAGGCTCACAGAATCCACGTCCTGAAGGTTCTTACACTTATGCGTGAGTATAAGTTCTTCACGAACCTCAAGAACTGTATATTCGCAGCGAACGAAATACCACTTCTTGTCTGCATCATAGGTAAAAACGGTGTACGCCTTGAGGCGAGTAGCGACTGGCCTGTGCCAGTCGACGTCTAGGGACTTTGAAAACTCCTTGGCTTAGCGGTGTACCTGCACAATTACTCGCGAAACTACGCCGAGATGACCGTAAGTCTCTCTTGTTTGTTTAAAAAAAACGAGAGATGGTCATGGAGTGCTGAATGTCAGCATTTCTTCGAAGGTATTAAGAACAGCTTGATACAATCGCCTGTGTTGGCGATTGCAGACCAAGACAGACCATTCTACGTGGTATGTGACGCCAGCGATTTTGCAATCGGCTGCGCGTTAATTCATAATGACTCAGACGGCGTTGAGCGCGTCTCCTGTTACCAATCGCGTCAGCTGCAAGCAGTTGAGCGTAACTACTACCCAGTGCATGACATGGAACGCTTTGCGATGAAATTTGCACTGGATAGGATTCGGGTCATTAGCTTAAGAGAAAGGCCCTTAATCGTTTATACCGACCATGCATCGTTACTTACAGCCGTAAACAGTCCACACCTCTCACAACGAATGCCAAGGTGGCTGTCTTTCTTCGCGGAGTACAACTTCTCCGTCAAGTGTAAACCAGGACGACTTAATGTTGTGGCTGATGCTCTTTCGCATCGGCACGATTTGGAGCCAACTGCTCAACCCAACAGCAGGGGTGATCCCTCTGTTGCGACACTACCAGTAAGTTTTCCGTCGTCGAATCTGCTCGACGACGTGCGTAAAGCATGCCTAGAAGATGATTCTCTCCTGCAAAAGATGTATTACGTGTCTAATCCTGCAGTCAAGCTTTGAAAAGCTTTCCGTCTCGGTACCGCTCTTCAAACGAACGGTATTCGGTTCGTGATGGACTGCTGTACTATATAGTAGTCAACATCGACGCACCTCGTGTCGTCGTTCCGCTTATGATGATTTGCGATTGCGCATCATGTATGAGTGTCACGATGCCACAACAAGTGGTCATCGGGGTAGAGATAAGACTTACCTCACGGTAAGTCGTGACTTCTACTGGCCTCGCCAGTATGATTCTGTGCGCAAATACATCCGTGCTTTCGAATTTTGCCAAATGAGTGAATCTTAGTTCTTGATCCCGTGCACCATTGCAGGCTCTACGAATTCTGGCGGAATGCTGGCAGTCCGTTTCGATGGACTTCGTCTTTGGTTTTTTCAAAGACGCTCAAAAATACTGGTATTCTTGTGTTTGTCGATCAGTTTAGCAAGATGACACATCTTGTTGCTGTAACGGAGTCAATTACAGACTAGGGCTGTGCTCATGTCTTCATCGATTTTAATCTTCTCGACTTCACGGGTTACCCCGTGAACTCGTGTTTGACAGAGACCCCGCTCCACAGCGGAGTTCTGGCAGCCCGTGTTCCGTTCGCTTCCAACATGTTTGAAGATGTCGACTTCTGAACATCCAGAAACATTTGGTCAGATGGAACGCGTTAACCGCGTCCTCGAAGAGATACTTCGAGGATTCGTCCATTGGTTTGCGAGTTGGAGTGAATTCTTGCCGATGGCGGAATTCGCCATCAACAACTCGGTGCATGCGTCAACAAGGCACACACCGTTCTTCTCGAATGGGCTACTCCATCCACGTTTACCCGCCTTCTTAGTGTGTGACTCTACTTTAAGGAGGGGCTGGACTAGCTCATACAAAAACCGTTCTGGTTCTTGCTCGTCACACGTCGACAATGATGTCGACGTGATTGATGCCGATGTCGATCACATCGACCTCGATGCTGGTATGTTCAGCATCACCAACGACGGCTACAGTGAGGACTATGGTGCCCTCACACTGATGAAGACAACGTTCTTTTAGCAGTGCGCACAAACTACGCTGGCGTTAACAGGGAGGAGTCAGCAGAGGAATTTCTGCTGACTCGCGGAACGGCTTTTTGCTTCGTTCAAGATTCTATAGTAGGGGCATAGATAAGCAGTAAGGAAATGCCGAAAATCATGGACGAACAAATGTTCTTTTATTAAATGAAGGAGACCTAATTTAACTTACTGTCAACAGCAAATCTACTAAAACACGCAGTGACCAACGTGGGTAGCAGAAAACTACTGCCCAAGTGTATTGGTCTATTTTGCGTGTTGCGCCGCATGGGCAACGCGTACGAGATAGAACTGCCCCGTACAATGAGTAATCACCCTACATTTTACCCTGGACGTCTCCGCCCGTACTATCAGTATGAGCCCATTTTGAGAGGCGAAGAACGCGTCCTTGATCAAGGGCCGAGACCATCTTCAAGTGGTCCCGTTTCAACAAGCCAGTCTGGTCGACTAGTGAAGCGACCTTCTCAAGCAATTGAGCGATGTCCTGAAGAGCTAAAAAAGTCAGCTCGTCACGAAGAGAACTAATTGAATGTTCGTTCACAAGTTGCGCGAGCGTAAACGCGGCACTATCGTTAGAACAATCGTACGTTAAGTAATTTTGATTGTCCTTTACAATTTCATGGAGCTCATAACGCCGAGTCCGTTCATAGGACAGGTCGTTGTGTAACCGATCGGTTACACGGTTCAGTTTCTGAACATCAAGCTGATCCGACCCTCGAGCCGGATCAGGTGTTCCCGCCTCCACCACATCATTTGGTAGTCAACGCTTTCTGGTAAAGCGTATTTTGAACCACCGCGGCGTGAAGGGCGTTGGAAGAGTTACCTCATCCGCTGGCGTGGCTATCCACCGGTCTGGGACAACTGGGAGCCTCGCGCCTAGATGATTGTTGATGTTCCCTGTCTCTTAGAGCAATATGACGAGACCCACCCGCTGCGTTCAAAGTAGGGTCGTCGGAAAACGACCTTCCCAAGCGCGGGTACAGAGATTGCAAAGTGTCAATTCCTTCGGCCATCTCAGCAGAGATGCGCGCCTTCCAGTAGGGAGCATTAGGAAGGTTTGCATCCCTAGTGGCATAATTAGCATTGTCCAGGAACCCTGGACATGGATCTCTCCACGAGAAACAGGTTAACTCTGCCTCTCTTGGAATGCGGTGCAACTTGTATCGTATACCGGCTGAATAACGTTTTTCAAACCTAATGCATGCTGCATCGAGTCTACTGAGCCAGGCATCACCGACAATGCATTCGATGTTGTGGATGAAGGAGTTCCATCCCTATACCAAGGCCTTACCGTCGTGACCACGGTTGCAATTGTACGACCGACGCTTGAAGAACAGATTGGTTTAGAATTCTTCCTCAGCACGAATCGTTTTCGTGCTAAAACTAGGAGGACAGATCCTCCTACAGTCAAACTACGAGATTCGATCCCGTTTGGTGGTCATATTGGCCGCTTGATCTAACCCCCTGGATGATGGCCTTCAAGGAGACTTCACTTCAGAAGCGTGGCGCAGGAGATTGCGGTCCCTGGCCTATTGCGTGGTGTCAGCATGAGTACTGACACCAGTAGTAGCTCGACCCCGCGAGTTGCTTCTCTCGCGGTGACGCACCTATGCGTCACCACCATCACCACGCGTCCTAGTGTCGGATGGACTTGCGTGATACAAGGACTCTTCCGACGAATCTCTCAGTCTGAAGATCTCGGACATGATAGCCCCATGTTTCCCAGAGCAAGTCAACCTAGCTCTGGCAGTGTTCGCCCCGAGTGATCCGTAGGCTGGAGTCGCCGCCTTCGAGTCATATGCATCATCCGACTTGCCGGGGTAGATGAGCTCCACTCCAGGATCTCCCACACTGCGAGTTGCAGCACCCGCTGTAGACGCAACGGATATAATTGTCGCGCGTGGTGACGCATCACATGGACTATTCGCAACAAGCACTGCTTGTTGCTCAATTAAAACAGAAGTCGAACGACAACATTCTGCTGAGGATTTAGAAGTACTCTCTTTGGGTGCACGCGTGCGTGCAGCCGCGTTCTTGGCGTCTTCTGGAGCGCACCGCATGGACTGCGAGACTATGCGATGAATTGGCAAGTGGGTTGAATTTGACCAACAAGTGCTCCCCTTTTCCAGAGAGATCCAACGTTGGTCACTCTGTCCCCAACAATGTATTTCAATCAACGAGGTGATTGATGATTACGGAGGGGGGGGGTGATGTAACAACTTAGCCCGCTAGATGATAGTGACACCAAACGGTGTCAATAGGAAGATTGTCTAGCATGACAATCTCCTGCCAATATTACCCGAGTTAGTTAATATTGAAGGAAAATTATTCCTTAGGATGATTTTCACATGCTGCTCGAACATTGGTTGATTAAAGGCATATCAACCAAGATTAACACCAATCGCTGCTAGACGCGCGCAATGGCTGGTGAGCAAATTGTCGTCATACAACAATGTAGATTAATATAGACAGATAAATACTGAATTCATATTGATAGCTCAAAGACTGTAGTAAATACAGTTCTCGTTTTACCTTTACTCAAAATAGCGAATTAGAGAGATTACCTTCCTCTGCACGTACGAGTGTACGTAAATTCTGGTTGCACTTAAGAGAAGAGTGTCTCGTTACATTATATAAATGACAGGTATGTAAAGTGCAATGTACTAAAATACCTGTCGCTCAAATGCTGTTTGGACGACCTGTTCACCCGTGCGCAGATGGTGCACAGCGCTTTTGCTTTTACGCGACAACAAGCTGATAATACGTGTTTTAACGAGATTAATCGGAAGACAGAAAATGGTGCTGATATCACTGCGACGGCGTCATGTGTCAAGGCTTTTAATGTGACAACTGTAGTATCGCTGCGAGCTGCTCGGGTTCTGTGTGTTACTTGTCCACCACTCTTAACATGAAGTTCTTGTCAAATAGGTGGAAAAAAGTCCCGAGAAGTGAAGGTATCGGGGAAAATGTGAACACGGAGAGAATGCGAGCTTGGGACGAGCGGTGTTTGCAGACGAACGGTGGGAAATCAAGACCAGTGTACCAGTAAAATGGTACCGTTGGGTGTCGACAATGGTCTCTCTTTGTTATCACAGGTCCATAGGCGTAGACCTCATTTACCTGGGGTCGACCGCGGCCCCTCATTGGTGAACCCGGTCCCTCATTTTGCAGGCCTCGATTCCTCATCGGTGGACCTGGTCTTTCATTGGTAGTAGTTGATATTGTGGTGAAGAAATTATAAAAAAGGACCCGAAATCTATCGGGATGAAGGACGAAGAATCCACCTTCTGGTACAGATTGTCTGAAAAAGAATTGGTCAGGAAAGTGGTAAAGACCTCAAATTGTAGACCCTCGTAGAAATCATTAAGAAGAAGACCGATTCCCGAGTACGGGTCAAGCTTTGTTTTTAAATGATGACTTAAGACCATCATTGGCGGGCCCTGTAAAGGGGCACCCTGAAGCTTGTACTGATGACAGTACAAGCTACTTATTTCGATGACAGTAAGGCGGTGCCTCGGAACTTCACGTACACTCGTCCGTGCAGAGGAAGACGGTAAGAAGAAGCGAGTACTTGGTTAAAGTAAAAAGTAGAACTGTATTTAGCATAGTTAATGTCTGCAATAAATCACTATTTATCCTCATCTAACTATGTCTGATTACAAATGTGCATATCAGCTATCTGCTCACCACTCATTGCGTGCGTCTGTGGTAGCGCGTCGTCGTTGGTTGATATAATGGCCTATATCAACCAATTAGGAACTACTCGTTAGTGCTACAGAATATTTGTCCTTATGACAATATTCTGAGAATATGACTCTTATAGTTATATTCTATTAACAATTTTTTTAAATTGTTATGTAACGATTCACCCCGTTACATCACCCCCCCTTAACCATCAGTCACTTTAGTTACTGATTGACTAAATGGATACTCGTCCCAAATCATTTGGGACAGGGTTTGCACATGCTGATCCGAGTCCACTTTCTAACAATTCATCGCATGGTTAACAAGCCCATGCGATGCGCGAGAAAGGCCGCCGAGAGCGCGTCCGCACGTCTCTGTGCGGACGCCGAAGCAGAAATCACAGCAACTGACGTCTCATCGGTTGCTGAAGCGACTCAGCCTGTGTCACTTGGTGATGCAGGCGCTGGTCATGAAGACACTCGTGTCTTCACAGAGTACGAGCTCGGTGTCTCATACTCTCCTGATACGGAAGACGGATCCGTATCGACGGCGATCGAATCCAAGCCGCCTGCCAAGCGTGGCATGGATGATGCTACACGTCGTAGCATCTTTGGTTCATTTGATAGTTTATATGAATCATCGCCAAAGCGAAGGCGCTCGAGGTCACGATACTCGGGCGCTCACAGTGGTGTCGGTTCTCCTATAGACACCACTTCGCAACGAGGTGCCAGTCCTTCTGTCGGCACATCGCAGGAAGAGCGGGACCGCAATGTCTTGCGTCTCGCTTCTGAGAAGAAGGCATGGATGCCTGCAAAATCCGTCGTGGATCACTTGTCGGCGACGACGAATGATCGTTATCGAACACGGTTGTTCGATTCGTCAAGGATACATCACCTTGACCCCAGCGCGAAAAACTATCGCGCTGAACATGAATTCTTCATCGATGCTTTCTTTAGACATCGATGGTACAGTGGGAATCACAAACGTGATGGCACCTCACTGCTTCAAGCGTGGAGCGCTTACATCCGTAACCTTGAGGATGTAGGTCGTGACGCTTGGAACGACAAACTTATCAAAGCTCGTGATAAGTTTGAAAAGTGAACCCCGACAGGCGCACGCTACAAGCTGCATCGTCTGTCAATGGAGAAAGGATTAGCCTGCCTCTCTTGGGGATACTCGTGCCCGTGCTGTGTGAACAACTCTGCACGAGCACCTAAGGAGGCTTACCTCCCTATTAGCCCGTGGTGGCGCGTACGTATCTCTACTGAGATGTACGAAGGGATTGACAATCTGAAATCCCTTTACGACCGTGCCGGGAAGACTTTCTCTGGCGGTCCTTCTGCGGCACAGGATGTGCCGCGTCGTACTGCTCAACCAGACCCAGTACGTCAACAATCAGTTAAGAGCGGGGCTCCCAAGTATCCCAGGACGGGGGATAGCCGCGCCACCGGACGAGATAACTCGTCCGACGTCCGTTCACGTCGCTGTGGTTCAACAGCTGCTCAACTAGATAGCGCTGGCCACCGCGAGAGTCCTCTAATGGAGGTGGAGGAGGAGGGAAAACGCTCTCCACACAATCGTGGGGATCCGTGTGTTCCCGAGAGCTTCTTTGATCGCGTAACGCAAGGGTTACGCGGCGATCTCGAATATGAGCGGGACAGGCGTCTCCAACTAACGGACGCTGTCTCGAAGCATCGAGCTGAGTTTACCTTTGCTTAACTTGAGAACGAGAGAGCTCTGACATATCTTCGTGACGAGCTAAGGGTAGCTCGTGGGATTGTTGATCGGTCTCGGGATGAGATAACTGCTCTTCAGACCATTGTTGATGCCCACCATCGGGAGCACGAGGCTTTCTGCGAGATGATTGAGCGCAAGGGCGTTCTTCATCGGAAGAAGCAGCGTACTGATGGTACGGCTTAAGCCGACCAACGTAAAACGTGGGATGCGTTCGCATCTTACGTGGCAACTCGATCGTGTATGCATTGCCTAGGCGGTGCAATACACAAAATGGGCCGATGTACTTGGGTAGAAGTTTACTGCTACCCAAGTTAGTCACTACATGCTTTGGTAGATTAACCGTAGACAGTAGGACTAAGTCACCTTTATTAAATAAAAGAGTGTTTGCCCTTCCATTCTTGTCAGCGTTTTGCTTTTGCTTATCCACCGCTTCGTCGATGGAGTCAAGCACAAAACGGACTACCGTTTCACGAGCCAGTCTGAACTCATCTGCTGACTCGTTAGCTTCAGTGCGCTGTGAGTGCACTGCAGCAACATCAACCTTTTCTTCAGTGAGGGCTTCCGCACTCTCACTGGCATCATCTTCTTCGATATCGATGTTATCGATATCGGCATCAAACGCAATGACCTCTTCGTCAGAGCGTGATGAGCGGGAACCAAATCGGTTTTTGCTCGCGCGAGTCCCTCCTCCCCCTTAAATCAGAGTTACACTCTAGTAAGGTGGGTACACGCGGATGGCGCAAGCCATTCACGTAAAACGGTGTATGTGTCGTGGACGCATGCACCGAGTTGTTAATGGCAAACTCTACCATGGGCAAGAACTCACTCCAACTTTTAAATTAGTGTACGTATCCTCGAAGTATCTCTTCAAGGACACGATTGGCACGTTCCGTCTGACCATCTGACTATGGATGATCAGGTGTCGACATCTTCAAGCGCGTTCCGAGTGATCTGAACACGGAGCGCCAGAAATCAGCAGTGAAGCGTGGATCTCTGATACGAGCTCACGGGGCAATCCACGAAGTCGGAAGATGGTGTCAATAAAGACACAAGCACAGCCACTTGCCGTGATTGACTCTGGTACAGCCACAAGGTGTACCATTTTGCTGAATCTGTAAACAATACAAGAATACCCGTATTCCCGCGTGCGTCTTTGGGTAACCCGAAGACGAAATCCATTGAGATGGATTCCCAGCACTCAGCCGGAACCGGTAGAGGCTGTAAAGGTGTACGCAGTGAAGGACTTGACTTCACTCGTTGACAGACTTCGCATGCGCGAACATACTTTCGCACAAAATGATACTGGCGGGGCCAGTAAAAGTCTCGACTCACCGTGAGATATGTTTTCTCTCGGCCACGATGTCCTCCTATAGGAGCATCGTGATACTCGAACATGATCCGCAAACGCAGATCAGTATCATCTGGAATGACAACACGTGGTGTGTCACCAGAAACGGCTGTAAATACAGTAACCCGTTACGAGTAGTGTATCGATCTGATGCAGATCGATACGCAGACGACAATCATTTCAACGATTCTCGAGATGGCTGGGAGAGATGTGACAACAACTTCACTATCTCACCATCTTGGGCGTATGCCCGCCTCACATCATCATACAACGTTGTAGATGGGACTGATG